TTATATCTAGCGAAAAAAGAGAAACTTGAGTTTAGTCACACAAAAATGACCAGTTCCTTTCCGATTTTATATTTTCATTATTGCTGAATTCTTGCGGTTATATTCACCAGAATTATATTGTGTAAATGATATGGTTTTATTTTTTGTAAACTAAGTAAAATATATGTTAAAATACTTGAACTATTTACACGTTGAAAATTTGAATTTTACGAAATTTCAATTCCACATTAATGATAGACTACTACATATAGTTTCATTTTTTATGTATTAAAAAGGAAAGGGAACTAATTAAACATGAGGTTCCATGTTTTGAGGAACGTTGAAGAGATCATAATTAACGATCACATGGTTTCTTTTTCACCATTTTTAGATTCACTTTCCATTTTGAGCACAACAATAGCATCAAAAGAACGAGCAGCAAAAACAAAAAGGTAAATAGCCAATTTCTCCAAGGCACGCGGCATCAGAATAGTTGATCGCTAGGCAACTCTTCTTGCAATCGTCAATGGCGACACAAGGACCGGTTATGAAGTAAGGGTTAGCGAGGTCACACTCCCCTTCCACTTCTGACCAATCCATACAAAAACACACACACGCTTTGTAAATATGTCTATACGTAATTAGGTTTTGAGATAACATTTTGATTTTATTACATTACCTGGAACAGATAAGAGGAGGATAGAGAGACAAACAACTACAGCAGCAACAACAGCTCTGCTCAACCTTAAGCTCCTCATTGCTCTTCTCTTTTTTTTTTTCTTTATGGCTATTACAACCAAAAAGGGTTTCAATTTATAGCTCTGAAGGTTAGAGGAGTGGGCAAAACAGGAAACAGATCTCGAGAATTCAAGGATTAATTACCTACTTTATTTTACCATTTGCTCTACACAAACTGGCACCGTATTAAAACTTAAATTTGATTTCTTAATAAGACTCTCCAGTCTCCACGTGATCCACCTCGCCATCTCCAATACATATAGTATTTTTTTTTACACAATCTCAGAAAAATTTACTTCCACATTAATGATAGACAACATTATTTTTCTTAATAAAGAAAAGGAAAGGGAACTAATTAAACATGAGGTGGTTCCATGTTTTGAGGATAGTTGGAGAGATCATAATTAATGATCACATGGTTCTCCTCTGAAACTTGGACACACTTATAGTAACAGTGTAACAGTGAATGGCTATGTCGGGCTTGCATATGCTCCTCACCATTTTCCACATTTCATATCAAGCAAGCTTTTTCGTGCAGCCGACGCTAGAAAACACAACTAATTTTTCCGAGTAGTAATTTATTTTCCATAATCTTAATTACCAACAGAAAACTATAACCAAAAGTTTAACAACTCAAGAAAACCACTTAATGTCCTAATAATAATCTCTCATCAGCTTCTTCCGATTGTTGACAACTTGATATGATTGCATACATCCAAAAATAAGTTTAAGACCGCCTAAAATTGTCTAATAACGCACAACTCTATAGATTAGACAAAAAAGAGGTGAGAGCGGTCAAAGTGTTTGCCGTTTCATGATTGGGAGAGTGCACAGCTTAGCATTTGGAAAAATACAGTAGAGAAACACATGACTTGGGACTTACGCAACCCTCTCGGATGATTTCACTAGCCAGAATATGAATCAGAAACTTCAACTAAGAGTAGCAAAACTCAAACCCTCTTTAGGTAACTAAATGTTCTCAGACTCAAAAAAAAAACTATACAACTTTTGTCTCTTTCTAGACTTTCTACATGCATCAAAAGACTCTCAGTTTCCAGAACTATTTTTTTTATTTATCTACAAGACCTGAGTGTAGTGGTTCCCTTCATCCCCTTTATGTCTCTTCTTCACCAGTACCGGATCTCTTGATCCATTGCAAGATCGCTTCTGCTTCTGTCACTTCACGTTGTGATCCTTCCTCTGCAATTATCGTGAATATCGAGTATTTATCTTCCTCTGCTTTGATCAGCTTCAGCCTAGTTCTCTCCCTGTCTTTGTCACCCGTGTTCAGACCGCACATGCGTAGTACGATCGATACAACGTTCTCGCCAATCTCTTGGACACTCGTACTCCTCAAGAAACTGAACAGATCATCCACAAACCCTAGATCCTCAATTTCTTCAATCACCCCTTTTTGTGTAGTCATAAGCGACAAGACAGCAAAGTAGATATACACGAAGCTTCTTTCTTTAATCCTGTTGATCAGCGCCGGAACCAAACCTTCTGAAACCACTTCGTCCCTCTTCTCCGTTATGAAACAGACGTTGAAAACAGCATAAGAGGCGTTTATGGCGGCGGAGAAATCATCCTCTTTGATGACATGCACCAAAGCCTTGAGTGTCTCTGAGTTACCAATGATGCTCTTGTTGGAATCAATTTCTGAAAGTTCCCACAAGGCATCTGCAGCGTTTCTTCGTGTCTTATCAGTCCCCTGCTTCAGAGACTTTGTAAGGAGTGGGATGACAAGAGGGTGTTGAGCAACTTCTGCTTTGTTCTCCTCAAGACTCGAGATGTAGAGCAATGCAGTGATGATATCTTTCTGAAGGCCCGGGTTGGAGTCAATGTCCTCGCCTAAAGCAGAGAGTGGAGTGAGCAACCGTGTGATGGATTCAGGGATCTCAGTTACAAAGAAGGCCGGGACATTGTCAAATCTCTTGGTCTGGCGACGCAGCTCGTTTGCAGCTGCTGTCTGATCTTCAACTGAGGAGGGAGAAGAGATTCGCTCAAGCAATAGGTCTATGTCATCACTGAACATCCCAATGCGTGCTTCAGATGGTTTTGGCAGATCGTAGTTGTTGACTTGACACCATTGCGTAATCAACTCAGAGATCACATGGTTGGGTGACGACAAAAAGTGAGAGAGGACTTCTTTAGTCTTGGGACATGTCTGTTTATACCTCAGCCATTGTTGGATGTATCTCTTTTCATAGGTCTGTCAGAAAAAATGAAAGTGGAATCAGCACCAAACATCAAACATCATTTGTATATGAGCACACATTTGGATACTTATATGTATCCTTCTATACGAATACCACACGTACAAAAAATTTCATTGAGCTTCTTAGCAATGTCAAGCATAACTCTGTTTCTTTACGGATGATACAAAACTTTCCCTTTAAAGAAGGTATACATATACACCAATAGCACTCATAACAGTTGAATACATCGAAAGTTATATGCTTTGTTCATATAAAGAAGGTTACATGTACATATACCACAAAATAGCACACACGTTTGTATCTATATCCTGACATATCTTTCTATACGATAACATATTCCATACGCATACAAAACATACACAATCATTACGTTTCTTGGCGATTTCAAGCGTAAACATACACATATTCCATATTCATACAAAGCATACATGATTCTGAAACTTTGTTTAAAAAAATATGCATGTAAATATATATAAGCACTCATAGAAACTGAACATAACGAAATTTATTTACTTCTTGATAAAAAAGATTAGCAAAGAGCAAGAATCACAAAGAAATAATAAAGAAAGGGAAAATGGTAAACCTGGCCAGATGCAATGACTACAGGTTCGCTCATGATCGAACGCGAGAGCATACACTTGAACTCTTTCGGTACTTCGAGCACAGAAGCCGCCGGAGAAGACGTAGAAGAGTCCGGAATCTTCGATTCAACTCCCCTTAGAGAATTTAGGATTCGAATCGCCTCATCAATCGCCTCATCACGTTTGAGAGTCGAGCGTCTTTCGTCAGTCTCGCCGCGATCTTCGCTTACACCTCCTCCGTCGTCGAGAATCTCCGTCATCGTCTTCTTTAACTCCAGCCTCAGAGTATCGGCGTTTTCCGCCGTAGATTTCTCCATTGAAAACGCGAAATTGAAAACCCTAGAAACTCGAGAGAATTGGGGGAAAAAAAGGAGGGAAGTTTCTGTTAGAGCAATGGAGAGAAGTGAAGAAAGGATCTATTTATTCCGTTAGCTTTTCAGTTTTGAGTTTTCTTTTGCCTCCTTTTTAATCACGTCCCCACTGCCACGTCACAACTAATAACGTCGGTTACATAATGCCACCTGTCATTTTGTGATACGTTTCATTACGTAGCCACGTCGTACCCGCGCTCTTTTCTTTTCGGAATCAAACTACTTCCAAGCTTCTCATTGGTTAAGGAAACAATTTAGATTCCGAGATAACCAATTTACATAATTTATTCTTTATTATATTATTTAAATAATAGCTAGTGAACTGAATCGGCTCAAGTTCTATATGGCTCATGCACAGGTCTTTCACTCTTTCTTTCATTGGCATTGGCTTTGCGAAGACAACATAACGTCTTACAAGTATTTCTCACTACTACTTTATCTTATGCATGTCATTACATAAACTCCCTTTCATTAAGAACTTTAGAGAAGAGGATTCAGAGCGCTAGTGTGTTATTTGATGCTAGCTTGGGTCACTGCTTCATTGACGGGCTAAAACAACAGCGACGCAAACGTCATTTACAACTGACTACGTGCATATGCTGCTACTGATAACATCACTAATGCAGAAGAAATTTTTCGTACAACCACTGTTGGTCCATTTTTTCGCTTCTTTTTATTAAGTTGAACCAAAAGAATTTTTATAAACTGAAACAAATAAAATAAAGAAGTATCAATTCTTTTATAGGTGAAAGAGAGAGGTGGGAGCGGTCAAAGTGTCTGCCATTGCATGATTGCGACAATGCACAGCATAGCATTTTGATGAATACAAGAGAAAACCACATGACTTGGGACTTACGCAACCCTCTCGGATGATAACAGTAACACTAGCCGGAATATGAAACCGAAACAGCACACGTAAACTAAGAGTAACAACCCTCCTCCTTAGGCACATTTCGTTTTCAGAAAAACCTATACAACTTTTGCGTCTTTTTACATGCATCAAGACTCACTTTTTACATGCATCAGAGTCAGTTTGCAAAACTAATCTTTTTATTTATCAACAAAACCTGAGTGTGGTGTTTCCCTTCATCCCCTTTATGGCTCTTCTTCACCTGTACCGGATCTCTTGATCCACTGCAGAATCGCTTTTGCTTCTATCCTTGCACGTTTTGATCCTTGCTTTGCAAGCTTCGAAAAGGTCGAGTAATTATCCTCCTCTTCTTTGATCAGCTTCATCCTAGTCCTCTCTCTGTCTCTGTCACCCGTTTTCCGACCGCACATGCGAAGGACGACCAACGTACCGTTCTCGCCAGTCACTGAGCAACTCGTATTCCTCAAGATACTGAACACACCATCGACAAACCCTAGATCCTCAATTTCTTCAATCACCCGGTCTTGTGCAGTCATAAGCGCCAATAGAGCAAAGTAGATATACACGAAGCTTCTTTCTTTAATCCTGTTGATCAGCGTGGGAATCAAACCTTCTGAAACCACTTTTCCCCTGTTCTCCGGTAGGTCACAGAGGTGGAAAACAGCATAACAGGCAGTTACCGCGGCTGTGAAATGATCCTCTTTGATGACATGTATCAAAGCCTTGAGTGTATCCGCGTCACCGATGATGCGCTTGTTAGAATCGACTTTTGAAAGTTCCCATAAGGCCTCTGCAGAGTTTCTTCTTGTCTTAGCTGTCCCCTTCTTCAAAGACTTTGTTAGCAGTGGGATGACAAGAGGATGCTGAGCAACTGCTGTTTTGTTCTCCTCAAGACTCGAGATGTAGAGCAACGCAGTGATGATATCCTTCTGAAGTCCCCGGTTCGAGTCAATGGCCTCGCCTAAAGCAGAGAGCGGAGTTAGCAACCGTGTGATGGATTCAGGGATCTCAGTTACAAACAAGGCCGGGACATTCTCAAATCTCTTGGTCTGGCGACGCAGCTCACTTGCAGCTTTTATCTGATCTTCAACTGAGGAGGGAGAGGAGATCCTCTGAAGCAATAGGTCAATGTCATCACTGAACAATCCAATGGGCGCATAAGATGCTTCTGGCCGATCGTACTTGTTGGCTTGACACCATTGCGTAATCAACTCATCGATCAAATGGTTGGGTGACCAGGAACGGTGAGAGAGGACTTCTTTGGTCTTGGGACATGTCTCTTTAAACATCAGCCACTGTTGGATGTATCTCTTTTCATACGTCTGTTCAAAATCAGAAACAAAAGTGCAAATCATCAGCAACAAAACACCAGACATATGTGTCTTCAATATCTTTTGTATATGAGATATAACACAGAAATTCCAACCGAAACACAGAAAGACACCCATTTGGATACACAGGTCTCTACATAAATCTACTCCTATGACATATATATGATCATACACTCCATTACACATTCATTGAGTTTCTTGGTAATGTCAAACATAAGCTTTGTTTCTTTTTGGATGATACGAAACTATCATTTTAAAGAAGGTAACATGTAAACATATACACAAGTAGCACTCATAACAATTGACTACTGTATGTCGAAAGTTATATGCTTTGTTCATATAAAGAAGGTCACATGTACATTTACCACAAACAGCACACACATATGTATCAGTATCTATCTACTCCTGTGACATATCTTAACATCTTCGATACGTATACACAACAAAACATACATAATCAATGAGTTTCTTGGCGATTTCAAGCGTAAACCTGTTACTTGTTCTGTGATTCTAATATATATATATATACAAACAGAACTCATAGAAATCGAAATTTATGTACTTTATATGAAATTAGCAAAGTCTAGCAAGAATCTTAAAGAATCGAGAAAAGATATTCTTAAAGAGAATCAAACCTGGCCAGACGCGATGACTACAGGCTCGCTCATGATCGCATGCGAGAGCATACACTTAAACTCCTTCGGCACTTGGGGCACAGAAGACGACGAAGAAGTTTCAGAGTCCCCCTGCATCTTCGATTCAACTTCCCTCAGACGATTCAGGATTCGAATCGCCTCATCGATTGATTTCAAGACTCCAGAAGTTCCGTCACTCTCACCGCGATCTTCGCTTACTCCTCCTCCCCCGTCGAGAATCTCCGTCACTGTCTTCTTTAACTCCATCCTCAGAGTATCGGCGCTCGCCGCCGTCGATTCCTCCATCTTGAAAGCGCGAAATTAAAACTCGTGAATTGGGGATAAGAAGAAGTAAGCGGGAAAGTTCTGTTACAAATGAAGAGAGAAGCGAAGCATCGATCTATTTATATCAGTTGAACTCTCAGTTTTCAGTTTTTTTTTTTCTTTTGCCTTCTTTTTTTATTTTTCCTTTTAATAACGTCCGCCACGTGTAATTTTATAATACGTTCAGTTACGTAGCAACGTCATACCCGCGTTCTTTACTTTTCGTAATCAAACGTCTCCTGATTGGTTAAGCAAACAGATCAGATTTTAAAATAATTTAATTTATTCTTCATTATATTATTTTAATCAAATTATATAAATACTAGATTCCTCAACCCTATAACCGTCACCATGCCGGGATAAAATGTCAGATCCAGTCGTGACGTTGCCGTCTCCGAGATCCGCCGGAGACCTATTCTGGGATGACTCTCGTCCTCCTCCTCTATGGTTCAACCCTTCCCTCTTCCTCTCCCCAGTCTTCGACTCCGATTCCTTCATCTCAGACCACCGTACGTTCGTTCCCTTCGACACTCTCCGATCCGAGCTCCGATCACACCTTACGTCTCTCAACAGTGATCTCCTTGACCACATCAACCGAGACTACTCCGATTTCGTGAATTTGAGCTCTAAGCTCGTTGATGTCGACGCAACTGCCCTCCGCATGCGCGCTCCGTTACTCGAGCTCCGTGAGGAGATTAATGCGTTTCGTGGATCTGTGGAGGACGCACGTGTCGCGCGTGCGAGTGGATTAGACCGACGTTGCGAGGCTGAGGCTGCGAGGGAGGTTTTGGAATCGTCGCTCGAGGCTTTTCGTGTGGTGTCTAAGGTAAAACAGAGTTTTAAGGCTTATGATTTTTATTGTTGTGTAAATTGTAATGAATATTCATTGTGAAGTGTAGGTTGAGAAGCTTATACAAGAGCAGCAAGACGGAGCATCCACGAGAGAATCACAGAGTATGCTCTTGGAAAGAATTGCTAGTGAATTGAATCGGCTCAAGTTCCATATGGTTCATGCACAGGTCTTTCTTTGAGAACATAATAGAATGTTATACAAGTAATGCTCACCACTATTTTATGGTATGCATGCCATTACAGAACTTGCTTTTCATTGAGAATTTGGAGAAGAGGATTCAGAGCGCTACTGTGTTATTCGATGCTAGCTTGCGTCATTGCTTCATTGACGGTTTAAATAACAGCGACGCAAGCGTCCTTTACAACTGCTTACGTGCATACGCTGCCACTGATAACGTTAAGAGTGCAGAAGAGGTTTTTCGTACAACGATTGTGGCTCCATTTATACATAAGGTTATAGCACATGAAGCATATGATGGAACATTGGGAGATGAACTTGAAAACGATTACAAACAGATCAAGCATTTCATTGCCAAGGACTGTAAGATGCTGCTGGAATTGTCTTCCACTGGTAATTCACTTAATCTCTGCGTGATCAAATTTACTGTACATTTCCTATCCCATATTTATGTGGTAAAGAAGTTTTCGTGTTACATACTCTTAAGAAGAATTTTACGCAACTACACAGTAACCTATGATTGTCTTGATATTTTAGTGTAATACCAATCTTGTTAGTTATTATAATTAGACAATGATGTTTCCTGCTGAATGTTGATGTTCTTATATTTCACTCACTGTACTATTTTCTTGGTATCTTGTTGGTAAAACAGGAAAATCGGGTTTGCATGTCTTCAACTTCTTGGCAAACTCAATCCTGAAAGAAGTTCTTTCGGCAATCCAGAAAGTAAAACCAAGAGTGTTTTCTCCTGGAAGGCCTACGGAGTTCTTGAAGAATTACAAGGCAAGCTTGGATTTCCTGGCATACCTTGAAGGTAGAGTAATTGATCTGCATCTTTCTCTGTGAACTGATTTTCATTGATGCATGGTGATGAATTTGCTTGGATGATTTTCAGTTGAGTCATAATACCATATACTTTTTTTTGTGAAGGTTTTTGTCCTTCAAGGTCTGCTGTAACTAAGTTTCGAGCTGAAGCGATATGTATCGAATTCATGAAGCAATGGAATGTGGGAGTGTACTTTTCATTGAGGTACTCAGAAATATTATAGGGCTACTGACTGACCATTAGAATTATTTGCTTCTCAACTTCTCTAACTCAAAGATACATAATTTCAGGTTTCAGGAGATAGCTGGAGGCTTGGATTCTGCTCTTACTTCTGCTTCTCTGATTTTAGTTCAGGATTTTGACTCAGATAAACGGAGTTCACCCACCTTAGTGCTTAGACAGAGCGTTACTCTTTATGAGAGCTTGCGATCATGCTGGAAAGAAGATGTTCTTGTTTTCTCTGCTGCTGATAAATTTCTTCGTTTGGCCTTGCAGCTTCTTTCGAGGTTTGTGACATTAATACTATCAGCTCCCACTAGTTTTTTTTTTTTTTTGTTTAGATTCTAATTTTTACAATGTGTTAATTACATGTAGATACTGCAATTGGGTGTCATCTGCTGTGAATGCTAGAAAGGGTAATGCCAGCGTGAGTCCTGGATGTGAATGGGCAGTTTCAGCCACTGCAGAAGATTTTGTATGCGTAAGTCACTTTATATGGTTGATCATTTTATCTGATCTTGACATAAATACATGAAAACTGGTTACATAGACCATATGATTGATTATTTTATGTTCTTGTAATATTGGGATGTTACCTTCCTTGCAGGTTATTCATGATGTAAATTTTCTAGTCTCAGAAGTTCGTGGCGATTACGTTGGACATATATCACACTATTTATCTTCATGCTCCTCTGAAGTTCTGGATGTGGTGAGGAAGAGCATGTTGCAGGGTGTAGAATCATTGGAGAACTTTCTACCTTTGCTTAAGAAGACCATTATTGAAATCATTGTTGATAAATCTGTTGAGGTAAAGATCTACTTGACTGCCTTAGTGGGCACCTGTTGAGTACACTTTGCTTTATAGCTGAACAGTTTACAGTTATTATTATCGGAAGTATCATACATATTCAAGACTGGGATGGTAAATTGTTTCTTCTCTCCTTCAGGAACTAAGTCAGCTAAAGGGAATAGCCGCAACATGTATGATGTCTAATAAACCACTGCCTGTTAGGCACTCACCATACGTGGTTGGACTATTGCGCCCTCTTAAGGTATTCGTTTAGCTTCGGGGTAGCTCATAATACTTGACTGATGAATTCTGAAGTGTAAATAATTGCATCTTTCATCTTAATAGGCCTTTTTGGAGGGAGACAAGGCTAAACACTTCTTGACCCACGAAATAAGGGAGGAGTTATTGTTTGACACTCTCACTGAACTTACCAGGCGGTATTATGAACTAGTTGCTGAACGTTTAAGCGAAGTAAGTATCTTTTATAAAACAATAAATATCCAGAAATGGTTGGTGAGGCGTTATGGGCATTAAGAGGTGGCAATATGTTGCAGGCGAGAAAAACAGAGACATTTCTTCAGAAATCACGAGAAAATGCACAGAAACGAGCAGGTGTAACAACAGGTGTAGCTGACCAAAATGTATCTGGAACAGAGAAGATGTGTATGCAGTTGTTCCTTGATCTTCAGGTAACCCTCATGATATTTCGACTGTTCTCTCATATAATAGTAGTCTTGATAAGAAGTAGCATCATCGGTTAAAAATATCTTTACCAGGAGTATGGCCGAAACATTTCTGCGTTGGGGCTGAATCCGGAAGATATCGAGCCTTATTGTTCCCTCTGGAAATGCGTTGCACCTACGGATAGGCTAAACACAATTAGCGTTTAGGGACTGGCGCTGCTTTTTCATACAACATTATGATATCGTATAAAAAGATATATAGCATCTTTTCTTCGCTTGGGTTTGTTTATCTAGAAGAGGAAGAGATTTTTGTTAAAGAGACGGGTGTTTTCCAAAGTTGCATGACGATAGATATATATAAGTCAGTGCCTGCTTTGGCCATTCGGTCTTTTGTATAATTATTTCGTCGTTGGAACAGCAATGATAGTGAAGACCTGTTTTTTTGTGTTTTTGGGCCATGTTTATGCGTGGCAAGGTAGATGTAAGACTTAATATTTGGTTTCTAGGAATTGCTTGTGAAGGAAGACGGCAATATCCAGTTATTAGTGTTTAGACTTCAGACAATACTAATTAACGGATTTCGATAGACAGATTGATTACCAATGTTATTTGATGAATCCATGTTCTTGACTTATTGGTCAGTGACCCACAAACACATATGCAAGGCTTTCTAACAAACATCAAAGCTAATGTCACCATACAAATAGATTAGAGATCAAATGCACTTCACTTCCAATGAATAACCTATTTAGGAAGTTAATAACAGAGCTCAATACTGTGTTCTATGCACTTAAACAAAAAACCAACATCAACCGAGAACACATCTACAAATGTTAAATTTTGATCAATTATACAGCTCAGTCACGTCATCAAAGCCACAAACTTCTAACAAACTCAACAAACAAGCTCAAATTTTCGACACAAGTACGCATTCTAAGTAATTGACCTAACCATTGATCAAATTATGAAAATTCCAAAACATCTCAAGACAAGAAACAAACTGATAAATATTAAAACTTCCTCATACCAAACACGTTAACATAGCCAAAACATAATAAGTTCTTAGATATCCAAACAAAACATAAAATCCTTAAAAACGAAACCTTGCAACAACCCCAAACCTCAAACAAAACAAACCAAACACTTAACGGTAACTCTTCTGGAAACGAGAACGAGCACCACGCCCACCAAACTTCTTAGGCTCACACCTCCTCGGATCCGCCACAAGCAAAGTCCTATCATACCTTATCAAGATATCCTTCACCTCCTTCTTCGACTGCTCATCCACATACTTCTGGTAAAACGCCACAAGCGCCTTAGCGATACTCTGACGAATCGCGTACACCTGGGAAGTGTGACCACCACCCTTGACACGGATCCTCATGTCAACACCAGCGAAACGGTGCTTGCCGAGGAGGAGGACAGGCTCGAAGATCTTGAATCTGAGGATCTCAGGCTGGAAAAGCTCGATGGGGGAGCCGTTGAGCTTGATCATACCGACACCACGTTTGCAGTGGGTTACAGCTACTGCTGTCTTCTTACGGCCGAAGCATTGCACGGATTCTTTCGCCGCTTGAGTCGCCATGGTTAAGGAGGATTCTTCTGATTCTTTCGCCCGCCGCTGAAAATGAAAAACCTAATGCAGAGAGTGGCCCATGTTACAATAACTCGATCTTATATAGTGGAGAGTAAACCCTAGGGCTTCCAGTCTGTAAACGCAGCGTTTTGATTTACTAAATAAATAAGTCTTAAAACGCTGCGTTTATGGTTACTGATGAAATAGTACTAATAACTGATGAATAAAAAAAGCAAAAGCAGCGTTTTGCAAGTCAACTGATGAATTCGATTAAATAGGCATGGACATTTTACCTGGACCCGAAGTCCTGATCCGGAACCGATCCAGAAATGTGCGGTTCGGGTAAGAATCGAATTGATCATTTTACCCTGTTGGGTCTTGATGTGGAGGAGCTGCGGGTCTTGGATCCGACCCGATGGGGTACCCGAAATATCCAAAACTTTTATTATATATTATGTATTTATACGTGTTTTAGTATATTTTATGGTATTATGAGTATTATTTTATGTTTCGGATTTGGGTTTTTAGATACAATTTCAGGTTTTAAGGAAAATTTTAGGTTTTTAAAAATATAATTCTAATAACCAGATAAAATTTTGGATATTTTTTTGTATTCGGGTCAGATTTTGGGTAAAATTTTGGGTATTTTTGGTATTTAAATATTTACCGTTATTTTTTGTGTTTTAGTTTTTTTTTGGGCCAACCCGACAAGACCCGAACCGAACCCGACCCGAAATCGAACCGAATCCGAACCGATAAATTCTAATTATCCCCATTGGGTCCAACTTTATAAGACCCGAACCGATCCGGACCTGGTAGGATCCGAACCGATCCGAATCTGGTAGGATCCGAACCGACAAAGTCTAATTACTCTATTGAGTCTAAGTATCTAAGACCTGAAGAACACGGATCCGATATGACCCGACCAGAATCCAATCCGAGTACCCGAATGCCTAGATCAAAAAACAAAGTCAACTAATGAAAAAAATATCCTAAAACGCTGCGGTTTAAATAAAATGAATGAATAAATGAAAAAGTCCGAAACGCTGCGTTTTAAGTTTAAGTCACCATATTTCCACTCTCTTCATCTCATCTCATCGGAATAAAGTTTCTCCCGGCGAGAAAATGTTTCTCCTCCGTCGTTATTACACCAAAAGAACCCTCTTTTCAATCCCCAACCCCAATTCCAAAACCTCCAATGCATCATCGACCATTCGCCATTTCACCACCCTCCAACCTCTACAAACCTCCGATCCAACCCAACCAACCAAAGGAGACTACTTCGCCACAATCAACCACGTCGTAAACCTAATCCGCCGCGAAATCCACCCCGAACGCTCCCTAAACCGTCTCCGCCTCCCCTTAACCTCCGAATTCGTCTTCAGAGTCCTCCGCGCCACCTCCCGATCCTCCAACGACTCTCTCCGCTTCTTCAATTGGGCCAGATCAAACCCTAACTACACCCCAACGTCAATAGAGCACGAGGAGCTCGCAAAGTCGTTAGCTTTACACAAAAAATACGAATCCATGTGGAAGATCCTCAAGCAGATGAGAGATCTCTCCCTGGACATCTCCAACGAGACTCTCTGTTTCATCATCGAACAGTACGGTAGAAACGGACACGTGGATCAGGCCGTTGAGCTATTCAACTGCGTGGAGAAGACTTTGAAGTGTAAACAGACGGTTGAGGTTTATAACTCGCTGCTCCACGCGCTTTGTGAGGTTAAGATGTTTCATGGAGCTTATGGTTTGATTAGGAGGATGATTAGGAAAGGACTTAGGCCTGATAAGAGGACTTACTCTGTTTTGGTTAATGGTTGGTGTTCCGCTGGGAAGATGAAGGAGGCTCAGGAGTTTCTTGATGAGATGAGTAGGAAGGGGTTTAACCCGCCGGCGCGTGGACGTGACTTGCTTATTGAGGGGCTGTTGAGTGCTGGTTACTTGGAGTCTGCTAAGGAGATGGTGGAGAAGATGAGTAAAGGAGGGTTTGTTCCTGATGTTCAGACTTTTAATACTTTGATTGGAGCTGTGAGTAAGTCTGGGGAAGTTGAGTTTTGCGTTGAGATGTATTACACTGCTTGCAAGTTGGGTTTAAGTGTGGATGTTGATAGTTATAAGATACTTATACCTGCGGTTTCGAAGATTGGGAAGGTAGATGAGGCGTTTAGGTTGTTGAATAACTGTGTGGAGGATGGGCATAAGCCGTTTCCGAGTTTGTATGCTCCTATAATTAAAGGGATGTGTAGGAATGGGATGTTTGATGATGCGTTTAGCTTTTTTAGTGATATGAAGGTGAAGGCTCATCCGCCGAACAGGCCGGTTTATACCATGTTGATAACGATGTGTGGTCGTGGTGGGAAGTTTGTGGATGCGGCTAATTATTTGGTTGAGATGACTGAGATGGGTTTGGTTCCGATTTCGAGGTGTTTTGATATGGTTACTGATGGGTTGAAGAATTGTGGGAAGCATGATTTGGCTATGAGGATAGAGCAGTTGGAAGTTCAGCTTAGAGGAGTTTGAAACTTGGAGATTTTGTAGAAACACAGTTGCTCTTTCCCTGGTTCGGTTTGGTTTAGTTATGATAATACATTTGTATTACCTACTAAGAGCTGAGTGGGTGTTAGGTTATACTTGGATTTGGGAGTTGAGTATAGTTGCTGTACGGTTGTCTTATTTGTTCAATCTTTGCTTGATACCAAACTATTGATCTTACAGTGTCCACACAACACTTGCGTGGTCAATCATTGGTTTCTCTTCCCTGGTTCGGTTTGGTTTAGTTATGATAATCCAATTGTATTACGTCTAGAAGCTGAGTGTGTGTTAGATTATACTTGGATTTGAGAGTTGAGTTTGTTCAATCTCTACTTGATACCAAACTCTTGATCTTACAGTGTCCACACACCACTTGCGTGGACAATCATTGTTGTGATTCACATCAGATACTAAACAACCAATATTTAACAAAGTGAAACGCTGTTCTTCATTGATATTAAGGATCCAATGTGTATTGAGTATCACCAACCATTTCGAAAGCCGAGAAATAAAGGAAGTACCAACAAACAAAATATAAGAAAGGACACAAAGTGATCAAACTACTCTGTGTTTAACAAAAGGTTTTGGCATCGGTAAGAAACAAGCACATATAGAGATGCACCTTCCGCAGGCTTAGAAGTCAGCTTCAAGGAAGTTTTGAGAAAGGGTTACCTATGAAGAAAAAGATGCTTAGATTGTTTTCTTAAAAAGGATCTACACGATGGTGGTAGATATAAGGAATATGTTTACCTTCTCGCCTAGTTTGAAGGGTGGGAGACCCTTGTAAGGGCATGTACCGCAGCGGAAGGCATCACCGAGCCCACACTGAAAAATTGTTTAAGAAATATTCAGTCTTTTGGAACCAAAATATCGAACGAAAGATATGAGTAAAGAAGCTTACGCTGCCACACGATGACTGTGGATTCTCAATTTGATCCTCTGTGAGGCCGCCTAGCTTCACAGCTTTCTCCTCTATCTCAGCTCTACCGCAAACGCAGTTCTTGCAAGCTTTCTTAGTGGTTTCACAGCCGCTAGCTGCAAAAAAAATGCAAGATATGTTACACACAAGGAATGAACAAGAATAACAAAGGTCATATGGGATGTCGTCTTTAATTACCAACAGGAATCTGTGGCTTCTTCAAGTCCTCCTCTGTCAAAAGAGAGTCTTCATCAATAAGATCCAAGTCAGCGTCTAGATTAACCTTCAAGAGAGTTGTTTTTGCAGGCTTCTTGAGAGCAAATGATGAACCAATCTTCCAAGAAGGTTTCTTTGCCTTAATCTGCATAGAACAACATGTTTCTCTGTTATAAGGATGAGCTAATGCGAGAGCATATATTCAACTTTCACAGATAAGACCACGAATAAGCTTGATCCCAAAAAAATCAGTTTGATATTTGGACAAGAGCAAAAAGTTTTCTCATACTGAAACAGGGAAGAAAGAAGAAATGTAGAAAGTGCTCACCCCAACAGATAAGCTGAAGTTAGGCAACTTAATTGATTTCAAATCAAGAGACTGTGGCTCCAGAAAACCAGCCAACGTCACTCTCCTTTGAAGGGTCTGCATGCAAGGAAGATGCCATAAGATTTTAAGCAAGAACAGGTCAAAGAAACCCAAGTTATATAGAGTATAGACACATCACAAACCTGTTGCAACTCTATAGTTTCACCTTCCGAGTTAGTGCACACAAAAACCGAACCACCAGGCTTCAGAACTCTTGAGAACTCGCCATATATTTTATCACTAGGAAAATCAGATGTTCTGGAAATGGCTAAAACCACATCCACTGAGGAAGCATCCAAAGGAACCTGATCTGCAAAAATTGTCCAAAACATAATCATAAAGACACGTATGTTCCTCTCTACGTACATTCAGTTACAGCTTAACAAAGCAATCAAACGCTATTCTGAGAGCCTTAGCTAAATAAAATACCGAGAGGATCTGAGATTTGTATTGTGGATGAATCATATGCTCATTACAGCTTAACTAAGCCATCAAACCCCTATACTTTAAATCCTGAGCTAAAACTAAACAACAAGAAAGTACAAATGAGGATATGAGATTCCTACTTATTGTGGAAGCTTGAGTAATGATGACAGGATCACAACGTTCAACCCCTTCTTTGGCGAGATCTTTCATTATAGTGAGAACAGAGCTAACAGGCAACACCACATCATCCGTCACAGCCAAAACAGTCGTCTGAGTCATCATCGAGTCCTACAAAAAAAAAAACAACAAAAGCCCAAACATTCAAACCTCTTAAGGTTCAGGAAAAGAGATAAAAATCAAAAAGAACAAAAATTCCACAAGAAACTCCAAAGCTCGAAACTTTATTACTGGGTTACAATTGGATTAAGATTACGAGCTAATCACGATCGATTCAGCTAATCCAAATCCCAAAAGTGAGAAACTTTCAGAGGTTTTAGCACAAACTGCATGCAATTAGAAAAGATTACCAAAAACCCTAAACTCACCATGTTAGATAGCGATCTCTGTAAAACCTCGTGAGATGCCCAAAAACCCTAAGAACTCTTTTATCTCTCTCCGTAAAATAAGAGAAATCAAATTTTATGACCTTCTCTCTCTATCTATCTATCTCTCCTCTGTTTTTATATACTTTTCTTTCTCGCCGACTCTGGCTTTCCCCTTTTCTCTTTTTTTGGGCAGTTCTACTATAACGCGGTTTTACCAAACCGGGTAATAGTTTTTTTTGGTCAACGAACAGGTATAATTTTGTTTTTTGTTTTTATTTTGTATATAGAAAGCATATCGTAAAAGAGAGACTGTTATTCTGATAACAATGTTGTATCGTATGTTTACTTGAATAGTGTAATTAATACGTTTACCACAAGACGTTTTTTACTTTTTAACACATTACATCAAAATATAAGAAAACATGATAACAATAGTCATGACTGTTGCCAGAAAGCAGAGTCTTACTCAGAATTATATGTATTCAAATGGTATTAGTAGTGGAGAGACATCACATCACCCAACGGTTCCTTTCTGAGGCAGAGACTCAAAGGCAGACACTGTATTCTCAAACCTGACACGTGGTAACGGTGCGCCGCTCTGTTTAATGGCACATGCCGTTTTGTCTTCTAGTGGACAACGAGCTTTAAGCATGGAGAAGACATGGTTGTTTAGTCGCCGAGCTTTCTTCATCCCTTCCAACAAACCTTCCCATCCCTTTTTTTTACACAGAAACAAAAGGAAAAGACATTGAAACATAGAAGCAAAATGGTGTTGATGAGAGGATGTAGAAAGTAAAAATCTACCTGGAGAACTTGAGGATTCCTATGAGTATGTGAAGCAGACACGGTTTCAACCTCAGAGACATTGAGTACTTGGTACGAGAAATCAAACAACTCAAAGTGAAGTTGCTGTCCGAGCAGGTAAATGATAGTGCAGCCACCCCAAGCTATCGAATCACCGAGGACTTCTTGTTGAGCTGATTGTGGAACTGTTATCTCCTCTAGATATCCCTGAGTTCATAATTGCAATTTTTTTAGGACTGTTTTGAGCAGAACAAAACGTTTTAAGTCCTTTGAATATGGTTAACTTACGATCTGAAGACCACCGTAAATGCGGTAAAAGTCCTTTGAAGTAGTGATATCGACGAAACCCGTCTTTGGAGGAGCACTCCATTTACTACAGTATTTGTCAAGCGACGCGCTTGTGAATGCAAGTGTGTATTCAAGAACGCTTCCACCGTTCATGTTTGCCTTATACAAAAGATCTGCACACATAGGCATAGTACCAAACAAAATGAAACTTTGTCATAAGAATAAACAAAGAAACTAATGATTGAATGAATAGCTGCTACAAGCTCCTAATTAACCTGCAGCTTCTGCCTGTTTTGACATGGTGTAGAACGCTGCTGGATTAAGACAACCAGGACTTGACACAACCGCAGAAGTCGCTGACTTTAAGAGATTGACAAGTGGGCTCTCGCCTTCTTGAGCGTTAACTATCTGTCCTTCTATGCCAGGGATTAATCCCAACCATGGAGCTGTTTGCATGAAACGCTTGGTGTCTACTTCTCTCTGTGTACCAACAAGATAACATAAAACATTTGTTAGACTACATCATTAGACTTGTTAATTTTCTTACAATCTGACTTATAAGACTGACCAATACGATGTCGAGAAGTCCCATTAAGTATATAACACTTCCAATTTCTTTTATTCCACGTAGAACTTCTGTTTTGAGTTCTGACTTTGTGCCCCAGTTTAGTTGTTCTCTAATAAGCCTCATACAGCCTGTATATGAAACAAAAACAAAAAAAAAAAGCATCGGACGACGAACAGGAAATACTTATCACACAAAAATGAAACACATCAAGAACTAAAAGTTCATAAGAACCTGCGACACCACCATCGAAAGAAAGTAATCCGATGGACTTGGGCAATGCTTCTTGCAAACCAGAGATCATTGGCTCTAGTGTTGTTATCTGAAAGTTTTAGAACATAAGAACTATTGTAGCTGGCTACTTGTATAATTAGTACCGAGACAGTAGAAATATTTTGGTACAAGATGTGCAGCGTACCTTATTTGATATATGATCCAGCAACGCTCTTATAAGCCAAGGCAATGATCTGGATCCAAGAAGTTTAACTATGGAAAATAAATGTGGTATACCGAAAAATCCACTATGCAACCGTGCAAAACTTTGATGTGCTGCATTTAAGTCCTATCACACAAAAGGAAAAAAAAGCATGAAACCAATAAAAACACCAAAAATATAATATGGAATGTTTAGTAACCACAATATGACACTGAAGAGATTGTTTCAGAACAAGTTAAAAGTAAAAATGGCTTAAGAGATTGCTCCTTACTTGAGTGCCACAGTAGAAACTAGGCTTCGCAGAAGGCACTGATGGTTTCTGAGTAGGGGGAACCTTCGATGAGCGGACAAATCTCTGTGTGGTGTTGCAAAGTATAAAGTTTGGTAGGAAATCACTCTGCATCTCTGACCATATCTAATGCCCAGGAAAAAAAACAAAACAAAAATAAAATAAGAAAAGCTAAGAAAATTTAGACCCTGAATTTCTATTATTGTATTGCTTACTTGTGTAGCAAGTCGACTGGAAAATGAGACAAGAGAGATGTTTTCTTGCATTTCATTCAGCATAAGGCTGAAAGGATCTATTGTAAGATCTTGTGAAAGCAGTTCATGTGAGTGCTTTAGAATGTCTATGAGCTTCTCCAGTTCCTGCATTTATGAAATTTGTATGTTTTTATTTATGAAATTTGTATGTTTTTACAAGAAATGATAATACATACAAAATCAAGAAAATGAAGAAGAAAAAAAACTTACCACTACAGCACATAGGTCCTGGGACTCAAAACGATCAAAGAGAAACTCCAGATTCTCTCTAAAAGTTTTATTCATCCTTTGAGAGATCAAACTTCTTAAATTAATTGTTCTACCAAGTATCTGCACATCACAACAAAATTAAAGAAGATGGTATCAGCGAATTAGAGTCAATGCTTGAAACATAAACGAATTCTATATTTCTATGTAGTGTAATAACAGTAGAGAGAAAGAGCAGCATTATTGTTCACCTTTACTTTTGTCATCTTAAATAACGCAGTGAACCTCACAGGCTGGATGGAGAACTTTTCACCATTGTCCAAAGCAAAGAGAAATGATGGATCAAGAAGCTCACTGTTGAATATAGCCATTGATGATAAAAGAGTTAAGCTACTCACTAATTACCAAGTGAATGGAATTGATATCTTTTAAAAACAAGCAATTAGGTACCTTGCTGACCAGCTCTTGTAATATGTGAATATAGACTCCGAGAGTCTTGAAACAAATATATCAAAACCATGGTCCACCTAGAGAAAGAAGATAGAAGGAACGTTTTTTTGTTTTCAAGAAACCTTTTTATTCAAGTAGAAGATCCAGTATTAAACTCTTAATACCTCAGCCTCAATTTCATCATAGAGGAACCTCTGCCTCAGAACAACCAGAGCTTGTTGAGCTGAGTCATTATAAATGTCAAAAGGCAGCAGAACACTCTCAAGAAGGCCTGAATTTGGGGCTTCGAGAATGTGGTCTATCAGCATCCATGGTAGTGAACATTCAATCGGGAACTGTAACAATGAACATACAAGTATTTGTAACAAGTCAGGGATGAAGTGAAGATAAAGTGGCGAAATAACCTTTTTATACAGCCACGTACCTGAATAACTCGTGAAGACTCCAGGTAAAATTCTCTAAACCACAGGAACCCGAGATCAGTCAATATTCCAATACTTGCTGCAGCCATAATAGATTGAAGTTGAAGTGTCAGTTTTAAAAAAAGCTAATAAACATCAAGCTGGCTCAATATTTGAGCATGTGGAGTTTACCTGAGTAATCCAATATGTGCAGAAAAAAGCTGAGCTTGTAAAAGAACGTCTCCAGTTGCTTTAGGTCACTAACAGGAATCTCAGACCCATTATTTCCAAAGAATCCCCCTGGCCTCCTCAGATTTCCACCCGAGACAACCTCATATATCAAAAACTGCAAGCAATGCACCTGAAAACAAAACAGCAAGAAGTTCAAGCACTATATCTTACGTTCCGTTTATGTATCTAAAATAATCATGAAATGGACCCAAACCTGTGCTGCTGTTGGGGCAACTGGCCTCGGATAAAAGAAGTTCGCTTTACTTTCATCACCTCCGTGTTGTGAAGATGGAATCTCATGTTCGGGCCTGGTGTTTGCCATCCAGTCAGCTGAAAGTGTCCGCATATCAGAAAGAATCCTGAATGCAATCACACATATGACCCAGTGAACAACATGAAGAGCTTATGTGAGTTTAATGGACAGAGAAGGCATGGAAAACTTATTTACCTTGAGAGATCTTTCTTCTTTCGGAAGGTGGTACGCAACATCGTGGCTAACGTGTTTTGTACAAAATCTTGAACCTCGGCATGTATTGTCTCCCATAAAGCATCTGCAACTAATGTGTCACAGCGCTGCAGCATCGATCCTACACTCTTTATATAGCCAACAAGTTCTACCAAGGCTCTCCTTTCTTCTGCAGTATAATTGTACCTCACCACCTATTAAAAATAATTTAGAACTTGTTCCATAAAAGAGATAACTATCTAGTTTCTTCATAAAAAGATAACTATCTAGTTTGAGAAAATATCTAAACATTTCAAAAGTATTACCTTCTCGTAATCAGAATATGATCCGGAGGCTTCTTGCGTCTCTGTTGCATCCCTACAAGGGCGAGAGAATTTCCAAGCAGATTGCTCCCAGATGCGTGCAGTCCATCTGCTTAGCAGTTGGAAACCTTCAACAACCATATCATACATGTTTCCTTTCACCTCTCTGCACCATTCAGTGTATGCTGCATCATTTGACTTCAACAGCAATAACTGCATAATAGCAAGTGAGAATAAGATTCTAGAGACTTGACATAGGAGCAGGAGAATCGCAACTCCAGGGAAAATTAATAGCCTACGCACCTGATTCATGGATGAAGCAAATCGGATTGTGAAATCGTCGTGCTCAGCCCGGAGAGCTCCAATGTGGTTAATTATCAAATAATGCCTCTGATATGTAAAATATGTTAAGGCTTGCAATCTTCAGAGCATGTGTTTTGTTTGCAATAATGCAG